TTTATGATGTCATAACTTCACAAGTTCTTCAGTCACCATGGACTTTTCCAAGAAATTCATAATGTAAAAATAAGCAGAAAACCACCATCAACCTTTTTTTGTGTGTGAAGAAATACAACTTTCAGGCCTTTTTTACAAACCATTAAGCCACAAAGGGCACAAGTTCACTTTACTATATCCTTCATAGGTCAACTGCAACAGGAAAAAACATGATGAACAGGATTTTCTATTAAGTAGGAAAATTGGTGTCTGTTCACTCCTACAGAAATAACATATATAAAAACATTTTAAAGGAAAATAAAAAAAATGGGACTAGTGTCTTTTTTCACTTTTTTATCATGTTTTAATTAAGACTTTTCTTTTTAAAGAATTTGTTCTGCTCATTTATTAAGTTAGAAATTCAGGTCTTGACTGCCCTAAAAAGAATTCTCCCCTGCTTTTTCAAATAATTCCCACTTTGCTGATACCAGCAGAACTAAAGCAAATGCTAAGAGTTCTAACGTAGGCAGACATAAGCACCATCTAACTCTACTTGCAGCAAATATAAATGATCTGGTGTTCAAAACAAAGATGGCAACTGTTAATTTGTCTGTACAAGGGGTACTAATGCTTCTAACACTGGTAAAGCTGAATTGGCTTTAGCAACAATGGGAAACTTGAAAAAATGTCTGTAGTGTGGACAGAACCAATGATGACTGGAGAACTACTGAAATGCTCACATCACAAGAATAAAGACAGTGAAAGCTGAGCAACCGAAAAATGAAAAGGACTTTTAGTCAAACTCTTGCTGCTTATGTTAACACCTATTTAACTATTTAATTAATATTTTGGATAAAGGAAGATTCAAAACCTTCATTCCTTCAGTTCAGCTGAAACAGCGAGTAAAAAATATAATCGGAGACCCCTCCAAAAAGTCTTAAGCAAAACCAGGCAAACACAAAAGGGCACAAGTTCAATTTTTTTTTTTTTTTTGCAGGCCATCGTAAAGTACAGTTTACTGTGTATCTCTTTGGAAATATTTAGTGGAGCCTTTACTACATTATAAATGACAGATGCAGTACTAATGGCTACCATTTTCTGGAATTCACTGAATTCCTACTCTACCCATCCCTCCCTCCCCTTTTCTTGATCTTAGTACAGAGCAGTTCACACGTGCAGTTTGAGTTCAAAGTGTTCTTAATATTTAAGGAAAGTTTGTTCAGTTAAAAAAATATCTGTGCTTAGAAGCTAAGAAATTACTTTGCTACAAAGTATCCGTGCTTAGAAGCTACTTAGCTACAGAAAGTTCAGCTATGCAAAATGGATGAAGCATAATTATAATATATACTTGCCTTGCACTTCTTGAACTAGTATTTCCAGTAAGGAAAAACTTAAAAGCACATCAGTGTACTGCACAATCAACTAAAGATTTTATTGCAAAAAATTCACAACTCTGAAATATGGCAAATCCATTGATTGTTGATATAATGTATTGTACATTTTTAAAGTACATCAGAAGTAAGAAGCCTGCCAAACAATGAGTGGGGCCATCGGACGATCAAAGAGCTAAAGGAGCACTCAAGGAAGACAAGGCCATTGCAGAAAACCTAAATTAATTTTTTGCATCAGTTTTGACTGCAGAGGATGTTAGGGAGATTCCCACACTTGAGCCATTCTTTTAAGAAGACAAATCTGAGGAACTGTCCCAGATTGAGGTGTCAATTGAGGTGGTTTTGGAACAAATTAATAAATGAAACAGGAATAACTCAACAGGACAAGATGGAATTCAACCAAGAGTTCTGAAAGAACTCAGATGTGAAATTGCAGAATTACTAACTGCAGTATCAGGGCAGATAGCTAATGTAACACCGATTTTTAAAAAAGGCTCCAGAAGTGATTCTAGCCATTACAGGCCAGTAAGCCTAACTTCAGTACCAGGCAAATTGGTTGAAACTGTAGTAAAGAACAGAATTATCAGACACATAGATGAACGTGCTATGCTGTGGAGAGTCAACACAGCTTTTATAAAGGGAAATCATGCTTCACCAATCTATTAGAATTCTTTGAGGGGGTCAACAAGCATGTGAACAAGGGTGATCCAGTTGATATAGTGTATTGGATTTTCAGAAAGCCTTTGACAAAGTCCAACACCATAGGATTAGACGGAAGGTCCTCTCATGGACCAGTAACTGATTAAAAGATAGGCAACAAACGTTAAGAATAAATGGTCAATTTTCACATTGGAGAGATGAATAGAGGGGTCCCACAAGGATCTGTACTGGGACCTGTGCTGTTCAACATATTTATAAATAATCTGGAAAAGGGGGGGGGTAAACAATGAGGTGACAAACTTTGCAGACAAGACTAAATTACTCAAGATAGTCGAAGTCCAAAGCTGACTGCGAAGAGTTACAAAGGGATCTCACAAAACTGGGTGACTGGGTAAGAAAATGGCAGACAAAATTCAATGCTGATAAATGCAAAGTAATGCACATTGGAGAAAATAATCCCAATTGTACATAAAAAATCAGGGTTCTAAATTAGCTGTTACCATTCAGAACGAGATCTTGGAGTTGTCATGGACAGTTCTCTGAAAACATCTGTTCAATGTTCAGCAGCAGTCAAAAAAGCTAACAGAATGTTAGGAACCATTAGGAAAGTGATAGATAGTAAAAGAGAAAATATCATAATGCCACTATATAAATCCAGTGTATGCCCACATCTTGAATAATGTGTGCAGTTCTGGTCACCCCATCTAAAAAAAGATATATAGAATTGGAAAAAAGTACAGAGAAATGCAACAAAATTGATTAGGGGGTGGAATAACTTCCATATGAGAAGAGATTAAAAAGACAAACTGTTCATCTTAGAAAAGAGACAACTAATGGGGAGGGATATGATAGAGATTTATAAAATCATGACTGGTGTGGAGAACGTAAATAAGGAAATGTTATTTACCCCTTCACATAACACAGGAACCAGGGGTCACCCAATGAAATTAACAGGCAGCAGGTTTAAAACAAACATAAGGAGGTACTTCTTCCTACAAGTCACAGTTAATCTGTGGAATTTGTTGCCAGGGGATGTTATGAAGGCCAAAAGAATAGCTGGGTTCAAAAAAGAAGTTCATGAAGTTCAATGGCTATTAGCCAAGATATTCAGAGATTGCATGCTCTGGGTGTCCCTAACCCTCTGACTGCTAGAATCTGGGACTGAATGAAACTGGATGGATCATTCAATAATTGCCCTGTTCTGTTCACTCCTTATGAAGCATCTGGCTGTCAGAAGACAGGATTCTGGGCTAGCTGGACCATTGGTCTGATCTAGTATAACCGTTCTTATATGGACGTCTACTGTACTGTGCAACTGCATGATTGGAAAAAGAAATATGTTGAATGTTGAAACCAACCATATAACATAAAATTATCATGCTTAGTCCATTGATATAATGCTATTGTTAGAACTGAGTCACCTGAGATGGTTTAACACTATCGGTGTCAGATCCTACATGCAAGAGAACACGTTTAATCAAAACATTATGTTTTAAATAATGAATTAATGATTCACTTGGCTTTCAATTCCTTTTGAACAAAAGTGTTTCCTGAAACAACTTTAGCTTCTATATAGTTTCAATTAATACAAGCTTTTAAACAATTAGAATAATTGTAGGGTTAACAATGGAAATATAAACATTTCCTATTGCACATTATTTCTAGAAAGTCTTTATGTGAATGAATAAAATCAATTTACCTCTAAATGCTTTCTTTAAGGACATTTCAGAATAACACCATCGTTAAGAAAGTTTGAGGAGGATCATATTAATATTTTAGTTGCACTATTTTGATTATTTTCAAGTTGATCAAGTGTGAACCCAGCAGGCCTTTAAGGCAGGGTTTTTAGTTATTGGACACCTGTTTTATTTTAAAATTTTTGTTTTGGCACATAAGGACACCACCTACTAGGAATACCATTTTTTCTTGTTGGTTAATTATTAAATTATTACATTTGGAATAAAACAAACATACCGTTCAGTACTGTTTCAGCGCTTCTGTTCTTTCAAAACAATGTACTGAATATTTCATAGAAAGCAAAAAATTAGATGCATGGTAAGAGAAATCAGATGTACGATCAAATATATTGCTGAACAATTAAGGTACATTTTAATTACACATAATTGAGTACAAAGCTCTAATGGCAAGGCTACTGCAAACAAAATTGAAGAATTTGTGGGGATATTTTGGCACAATCCCACAAGTGCAATATGGTATATTTATGGTCTCCGTAACTAGTACTATACCACAAGTATGTAATCTTAGCTAGCTTTTCTTTTTGGTTGTATTTTAACTGGATTAGACATAATATACTAAAGGCATACTTGGGTTTATGGCACCATTTTTATTTGTAAAATCTGCCACTCTTACTACAGCTATGGAACATCACATGCAGGGCTCTGTAGTGCTCCTTTGACAAAATTCTGGAGACACTTGTAACAGGCATTTTGGTTTGTTTTAGTAGCAAATATAAAGCTACTTTGGTTTAAAGTTTACCTTTCTTACTTCAGAAGAATAAATATTAGTACTTTTTCCAGTGGACAAGAATACATAAGACCTATTTTTTCCAAGCTATGAATTTTGAGTACTATACTATTTTAATTAATTGACTGCATACTAACAAGAAAAAATGAGGTAAGCATGCTTGTGTTGGTTTATATGGACTCTTGACTTCATAGCATCTCCTTTTACTTGTCTACTCCACCCTGGCAGATAAGTATTTTAGTGAGTATGAGCCTAACTCATACTAATAATCAAGTAACTATTATATGCATATATAATTACCCACACATCTTGCTAAAATTTATTCAATTGTGACAAAAACATCAGAGTTGAAAAGACTTTTCATTTATTATGCTTCTGTTGCAAGATCAAATTTTAAGGTTTATAATCCAGTGCAAAATCACCACACATTATTCGATAAAAGGAAGGCATTCATTCCCTGAAGGCCCATGTTGGGCACTTAAAAAAAAAAAAAAAAAGGCTTACTGTACATGTGCAAAACCCAGCGAGACTGTGAAATAGTAGTAGACTGGTCAATTTTCAAATTAAGATTTGCTCTTTTGATCTTAAAAAGTATAGACTAATTACAGATATTATCAAATTGTCTTTTTAAATGGCTATTTCAAGTTAATGCTACAGCAGGTATCAGTGCCTTATATGTTCTCTGAGAATCCAAGTATTAATTGAAGAAATTCAAAATAAAAATCCATTCTTTTCTCTAGAGATATCCAGACCAAAAAGGAAAAGCTTTATATAGCAAAATCTGATTACATTCTTAACATTACATGGACATTAACGTATAAGGCAAAGCTGTACAGCACTGCTGGAAGATACTGGAGTTATGTACTGGAAGAAACTTATTGCATTTTGGTAAGTACATTATATGGTTGACACAATAAAGAGGAGCATGACTAGTGGCAAAAATACATTAACTTCCTGGAACACAAGTAGGTTAAAAATAATAAAATATTTTAAGAAATCAAATGTATACCACAAGGGAGTCTGTAAGTGTTCTCATGCTGTTCTCTTAGACTCTTTGCTCCACTTCTTTTTTGGCTCCAGTCACACTATCAATTGCCCGTAAGATGAACTGTAAGCAGCACTTCTTCTCAAGGACCTGCAGGGTGGGAGTGGGGGAGGAGGCAGTGCTACTTCTGAAAGTGCTGACTGGATGCAAAGGGGACTAAAGACATAATAAAAGGAAACCTCCTGACAGTGAATCAGATGGGAGATATGGCTCCTTTAGTGCTTTGAGCCTTCTGCAGTTGCCAAATTTCCAGTCTAGCAGCAGCAACAATTTTTAACACCTAAAAGTTTTCTATTATAAGGATAACAGCAACAGATAATTTGCACATACATAGTACTTTTTCATGTGTTTTTTCCAAAATGCTTTATAAAGGTAATAAGCACGAGCAGCCCCATTTTATATATGGGGTAACCGAGGCACAGAGAGGTTAAATGACTTGCCACAGTCAAAGCAAAATAGTATCAGAATCTGGGCTAGAACCACTCTCTTGAATTCTAGTCCATGCCCAATCCACCAGATAATAGTGGTTCAATATATGACAAGCACCAATTCAAGCTAAATCTTGAATAGCATATTTGAAAGAATATGAAAAACTACTCACTCTTCAACTGATACACATTAGTTAGGCTGCCATATAACCCCATTTGTTCTGACTAGCATGAACGTCTTGACTAAAGAAAAGTACCAAAAAACTCTCCCCCACCAACTACAACTAATGATGTAATCTCCAAGAAGGGACCAATCTGCACACCAGAAGAGTGAGTGATCTAGAATGAACTACACCTGCTTTCAAACCATCTTCTTCTGAAAAAAAGTCTCTTGGATGTCATTAAAGATTGCAGCATCTCCAGGTGTAGTAGTTTCTATAAAATAATCTGTTGTCAAATACAAATGACAGCACTCATAATACAAATTATAGTTCTAAAATGCATGTGTGTATATATATATATATTAGGAGAAAATTAGATTTTTTTTTTACACACATATAAACATCTGGCTTATATGCCAATATAAATTTTAGACAACTTTCCTTATTTAGAACGAATGTTTAAATAACAGAATTATATACAATCTCATAGAACATTTAAAAAAAAATTAACATACTATTCACAAATGCAGAATTATCTAGGACAATCAAAAAGCGTATTCAGAATAAATTAATGTCATACAATTGTGGTTATATTGTTCAGAAAGTCCAATTCTCCCCTTTGAAATGAAACTGAGACCATTGTACCTTAGGGTGAATTATTTAGCAATGCACAAATTCTCTCTCTTTACGTAGAAGTCTTCATATGAACTTAATTTCATTTATACAAAGGAAAGAAGCATGAAAGAGGCACCTCACACTACTGCATTCCACTGAATTAGAATAAGATTTCTATTGAATGGCAATGAAGCCAATGTTTTATCATCTGAACACTAGTAGCCTCTGTGTCCTTGCAAGTTTTACACCTTGAGTTAGCAGCAACATGTTTAATAGGTTCAGTAGTACATTTTTTCCGACACTGGATCGGGCCAGTTTGCATGTATAGTAAGCCATTTAGCAGTTGGGGTGCAATATTAGTCCACTCTTGCATGTGAGAACTAATAAATACACTGGGAAACAAAGATAAATCAGACTAAGTTTTAGTTTAAATGTTTTCAGTCTATAAAGAGAAAAACCACAAGAAAACATAGTGAAATTAAGTAAGTACCATATTTAGGGTGCAAAGGAGTAGAGCGGAAGAGGCTACAGGAAATAGGTAAACTATTGAAAGGTCAAGAAAATGGAAAATTCAAGCTGTGGAAGATCTCAATAAAACCTGCAAAGCAGCATTAGTTTGGGTGTCAGGTATGCTATATTTGATTTATCAAAAGTTTATTAGTATAACCAGCATATTTGCAATCAGGTTGATGGGAGTTAATTCTTTAATTACTCCGGCTCTTAATGGACATGTTTAGGGTTTAGCCCTTGGCATTCTATTTATGTAAAATGTTTGATAAACCTCCAGGAACCAAATAATATGACCAACTCTACTTTGTATATCAATATTTTGGTCCCAATCTTGCAAGGTGTTTAGCATTTAACTCCCATGGACTTCAGTAGGAGATGAAGACACTCAATACCTCATTAACTGGGGCACTTTTTTATTAATACTGCTGGTTTTCCTTTTGTATTTTAGAATGGTAAACACCAGGGTTAAAGTAAATTCTAGAGGAAAACTTGTTTTTACAGCAGTAAAAGATGCAGGTTACGTACTAAAGTTTCCTTGATTATTTCTTTTCAGTATGTATATAATGCATATTATACACAACTGCTCACATATACATATATACATGTCTTCTATATACTGTACATGACTTAGTAATTGTCTACGGAAATTTAAAGTGCCACTGCTCAAATGTGCTCATCTGACTTCCCATGGGCTTTTGATGAATTCTCTAGTCACCTACAGAAATGAGATCCTGGCTTTATGACAACCGGTGTTTTTAGAAGATGAAATTAATCCTTTCACAGCTCTACTAACTGGAATCCAGTGGTCGAACTAATCCTTCTTTGTAAACACGAAGAATAGCTTCACACACGAACTTGTACTGACTCTGTGTAACGAAAAAAAGATGAGTAAAACTATTAATGGTCAGTCACATCAGTTTTAAGCTATTGATTATAGTGTAGTAATGAATACTAACTAAACACTGTAAACTACCTTCAGCTTTACTGCCACCTGTGGCACTAAAACATGGGCAGAAGAAGAGGACAGATACAAAGACAGATAGAAAAAATAAAAATATTACAGCCCCACTCAGTGGAGATATTTGCAGAATTTACACTCCAGTAAACGCCAAATGTTGTATCGTGCAAATTTTGACCTCAGATGCAAGCATGAGTCTCCCGGTAACTTTAATGGGTGCAATGTACAAACATCCAAGAGGCAAGGTTTAGCCAGAAGGAAAGTCTAAATTTATGCATCTGATTCCTTAGCCCACATGGCTACTTAAATAGAAGCTAATTTGTTTCAATTACTTTCTTTCATATATTTTATCTATGGTGTAATTTGTACTGATGTTAATTGATCATTTAAAAGATAGCAATTTATCCATCCCTTTAATATACACATTACTTGAGTCCTCAAAGCATGCAAACTACAATAAAGGAAATGCATTAAACAGTCTCTTAATTTAACAAATGGAAGGCGGTGCTGTACTTCATGTCTTTCATTTAAAATGCTTAAACAAAGGATTTTATCTTCCAAACTAGATCAACACTGCTGCACAAGTTGAAATTGATTTAGTTCAGTTTTGTACAGGCAGGGTACAAACTTTTGGAGAGAACTCTGAACTATGACAGTCACCCTCCTTTTACCTCATCACCCCCAACATTTTGAGCTCATTTATAATCTTACAGCACTTTGGAATATTTTTATAATGAAGTACTTTACAAATGAGATTAGAATATTTTTCCTCTTAAAGAGCATCTAAGAAGTAGACCATTCAACAAATTTATATTTTTTCCATAACCTTGTTCTCTGTACCAGACATTCATTAAAAATATTTGAGTCCCTTTCTGAACTGGGAATGTTGTTGACAATTGGAGCCATATAAGTTTCAAAACAATACTTAGCCTGAAGCAAATATTTATGGCTAATATAAAAGCCTGAGAATATGGGATCACAATAAAAATTCAAGAGAGATTTATAGCAGCACTAGAAAGTGAGACCAAGTTACACATATTTTTGCTTTCTCAGAAGGGGCTTCAAGTATCCAAAATATGAACTCTCCCCACCAACTCAAGTGTAATAGACCCAGAGGATTTTAGGTCCCAGAAGTGAGAGTATGCATTAACTCCTTCATTTTGAGCCACATTCCCAATCTTTTTTTTAGCCATCTGCCCTACATTCTCAGGTTGATTGCAATGGGGTGTTTGGCAGTAGCTTATATTAATCCTTCCCCCCACAAAAAAACTTCAAGGTTTAGCATTGCTCCCAGCCCCATCCAGCCTGAGGAGTGAAGATCCTGAAGTTGCATTTAGGCCTCAGTTTTCAATATGTTGTCATTGTGCATTACCTGATGAGTAACTTTTTTCCTGCGCTTTACTAAATTGGCTAAAATTTACAGGAAATCTTGGGGATGTAAGTTAACTTTTTGCAGCTCAATTTTCATGTCAACCCCTCCCACCCCAACTCTCTAGTCAACTACTCCCATCTCAAATATCAATTTGTTCTTATGACTGTGATGTTTGTTGTTCTGTTTATATTTGTTAATTACTTTGACTTTTCCTTCATTGTTAGTCATTTGCATATTTCACCGCTGCCTGCACAAGCCAACTGTGATATTTAACTCCCTGATTTATTATTTCTGTTAACTCCATTGTGTAAGCAACTTATTTAGAAATAAGATTGGATGTTCATCATTGATTCCTATGATGCAGACAGTGACTACTTGTTTTCCTTGCCATTCTAATTGCCATTGCTTGCGTTCTGATTGCTCACTCAACGGCGTTCTCATGTCCTCCACTGAAACACTCCCAAGGTTAGCTTTTTTAAAAAAATTGTGAAGGTAGGCATAGCAGTCATTATCAAACCTGATTTTAAGACTTCTTCATCTTCTTTAATGTATTGCTACCCCTTCTACGTTTATCACCATGCAACCTCAAGTTTTTAATAGGCTGAGTCAGCATAACAACTTTTTCTTCTTCAGAGGTTATATAGTAGAGTAGGACTAGAGGAAATCCACTGGCCTGTCATCCAGCTAACAATTCCCTGTTATGAAGCAGCCTAACAATCCTACTTGCTAAATCTCTCCCTAAAGTCTTAACGCAATCAATTAAATAATCATTATCTCAAGAAAGCTACTCATTTCTGAATATTTTCACCTATACGTTCCCTCTTTTTGTGACCAGTCTGCTGTAGCCAAACTGTAATTCTCTTTTGCTTCACAATCTACTTGAACATATCTGCTTTGAACACAGAGTGCTATACAAATTCAAAGTGCTTTGAAAATATTCGGATGTGGGGCTCCCTCAGTTTCTCCTCTTGAAACCATTCCACCGTGGATACAGTTAAAGTCATTGAAGCAGGGAGACTGGATCTTGAGTCTCCCAAACTCCAAGGTGAGTACTCTAACCAGCAGACTGCAGAATCATTCTCATGTTTGTTCTCTCTCTCTCTCTCTCTCCCCCGTCCCAATGACTTTTTAAATGATCACAGTAGAACAGCTTCAACCAGAGAGATTGAAGAAGACACAATAAAATATCCTGGAGCCCAATTGTTAGGATATTCACCAGGGAGGTGGCAGATACTAGTTCAAATCCCTTGTCTCCCTCAGGTAGAGGGGGGACTTGAACCAGGGTCTCCCACATCCCAGGTGAGTATTTTAGCCACTGGGCTAAAAGTTACAACAGAGATCCTCCTCCTCCTCTCCCCCCAACTGTCTCCTTTTGTGTGAGATTGCCTATGGGTGCCCCATTCGGCAGGCAACCTTTAAGTACACTTACTAGATTGGGCCCTGCAGGCGTTAGGTGGAAGAACTCCTGCCTTCCCCTGATTTGTGCATCTCTCTGGATGTGCTGCAGTGTGCATGCGCAGAGGCAGGGACATATGGACTTAAGGAACTTTCACTGCAAAAATTTAGGCATCAGCAATTTCAGGCACCTATAGGGTTTAGTAGCAACTGAGTGAGGGTTTTGTGATCCCCAATGGGGCCTGATTCTGGGATCCAGGCACCTAAAGTGGCAGTTACACACTTAGATCCTTTTACATATCTTGCCCCAAATTTCTTGCACTGGGGCTAGACCTTGAAGGACTCCAGGCTGAAGACCCAATTTGGGAAACCTGATTTACTGACTTGAAATATTTTGAGCATGTCCTTCCTACCTCAGGAAAGGACAAATAAAACTTTTATTTAATCCTTAGGAGAGAGAAAGCACTTGTGACTTTTTTTTTTAAACAGGTACTTAAAATTAATGAACACAATAATTCTGGCTTTTCATCTCTTTGTGCTTTAGTTCCCGATCTGTCAAATGGGATTAATATCAGCATCTAATCTCACAAAGGTGTTGTGAAAATAAATACATTACTGCTTCTGAAACACTCAGGTGAGTGCCACAAAAATGCACACAAGGAAATTAATAATTTTGTATTCAAAGCAGCGCTTGGGTGGTGTGCCATTAGTAAGGCTTGGGACCACGCACGGAATGAGAAGGATAAAAGTAAGTGTTCACTGCATGAGGCAGGTATCCCATGGAAAAAAATAGTATGTAATCATGTAATTAAAGACTATCATAATGAATATGCCCAAAGGAGCAGGATTAAGGTTGCAAAGGGAAACTTAATCCTGGCAATTCCTAATTTTTGAAGGCTTGCTTTTGTAATCTTCACATTCTTTTAACACAGTTTTTTGGATCCAATAGAATAATTACTCTGGTGAATCACACAGCCTGCTCTTAAGGTAATTAACTCATTACTAAGTAGAGTTTACACCTCTTCCTCAGTTAGCTTCCTCTTTCCTTTGCTTGAATGAGAACTGTGAGGCATTTTCTATGTCATTCCTTCTGAAGTTTCAATAGATACAAAGTGCCAAATTCAACTGTCACATTTGTGGGTTTAAATCCCTTTACTCCACTTTAGTTCAAGACACTTACTGCCTCGGAAACAAGCACATTGTTCTCATTCCACCTGACATCCAGATCTTGTCACCAATAATTAATCTACTCCCTTGTTCAAGAAAGTGTGACCTATGCTCCTCCACTCCTAATATTTTCAGTGGCAACCTATTCATTTCTAAAGCCCATTCAAAACTGCTTCTTGATTTTCAAAACTCTCTGCTGCTTACTCTTTCCCCTCTTCCCCCAACCTAGGCCTCCTTCTGATTCCTGCCCTTGACTCTGGAGTGGTGGTGAGGTTTTTTTTTTTTTTTTTTTTTTAAACCTCTGCTGTCCCATCTGATTTCTCCCTAAAGACAAGGCTTAGGCTATGTCTACACTACAGGTTACATTGGCATAAGTTATGTCGCTCAGGGGTGTGAATAAACAACCCCGAGTGACATAAGTTACTCCGGCATAAGCACCAGTGTGGACAGAACTTCTCCCGCCGACATAGCTACTGCCTCTCGTGGAAGTGGTTTTATTATGCTGATGGGAGAGCTCTCTCCCGTCGGCATACAGTGTCTTCACCTGACGCGCTGCAGACACCCACCACAGAGTCACTTTTCTTGTTAAACCACACCTGAAAATCTTCCTTTTCTTTTTAGTTTATGAAAGGTTCTCTATTAAGGATGAAATTAACAAACTAAATTATATTTTAAATGTTTGTATATAATATCTGTATAAGAGATGTATACAAATCTGACTCAAAGCTCATTCTAGTTTACTACTTGCTAGTTACAAAAATGGATGTGTCTTTAAAAGGCAAGACAGGAAATAAGTTTAAACATTTACAAATAATTGAAGTACACAACTCACAAGCAGGACTGTCCTTTCTGATAAGGTTAATTTATGTTTTCAGCTAATGCAATATAAAAATAATTGAAAATCATGCAAACAACTAAATCAACTTGATATGAAGAACCCATGTTTCTCTATGTTAATAATGAAACAAAGAGCATGCACAATGCATAAGGGACTCCCTCTTCTTAACTTACTGATGTTTGCACCATCATAGCTCGCTGGTCTCGCATTTTTCGTACAATATCCAGTGGATAAACAGGTTGGTTTCTTTCAATTAAGCACATGGCTGTTTCCATAGTGACCAATACACCAGTGCGGCCTATTCCAGCACTACAAAATGTAACAGAATCCCCCCATAAAATTAATAGGCTTTTGCCATGCACTAAATACATATCACAGACTAACATTAAAACACTCTACATACCTTTAGGAATAAAAGCAACACAGTTTAAAAGTAAGAATAGAACACAATGTATATTTTTAGGACAACATAAGCAACATTTTCTTTATACAACTGCAAGAAAACAGCATTTTTACATAAATAAAAAGAAAATTCTAGAAAAAATAAAACCATAAGTTTAAGTAAATGACTTTAAAATTGTTATGATTTTAAAAAATGATATATTGTTTTTTAGATTTTATTTAAAATCAACCTTAAGACTGAAAAGTGAAAAGAAGAACTGACGGATTGTTTTTTTTAGGGGTACACAAAAAGGATTTTGAGGTTAAATTCATTATATAACTATTAAAAAGTAGGGCTGTCAAGCGATTAAAAATTAATCGTGATTAATCGCATTGTTAATAATGGTATACCATTTATTTAAATATTTTTGGATGCTTTCTACATTTTCAAATATATTGATTTCAGTTACAACACAGACTACAAAGTGTACAGTGCTCACTTTATATTTATTTTTGATTACATATATTTGCACTGTAAAAAAAAAATAGTATTTTTCAATTCACCCAACACAAGTATCGTATCATGAAAGTTGAACTTACAGATGTAGAATTATGTACAAAAATAACTGCATTCAAAAATAAAACAATGTAAAATTTTAGAGCCTGCAAGTCCACACAGTCCTACTTCTTGTTCAGCCAATTGCTCAGACAAACAAGTCTGTTTACATTTCCAGGAAATAATGCTGCTGGCTTGTTTACAATGTCACCTGAAAATGAGAATAGGTGTTTGCATGGCATTGTTGTCACCGGGGCCCCAAGATATTTACGTGCCAGATGCGCTAAATATTCATATGTCCCTTCATGCTTCAACCACCATTCCAGAGAACATGGATCCATGCTGATGATGGGTTCTGCTCGATAACGATCCAACGCATGTTCATTTTCATCATTTTTCAAACATTTCATATTTCATCATCGTAAGTCAGATGCCACCAGCAGAAGGTTTTCTTTTTTGGTGTTTCGGGTTCTGTAGTTTCTGTATCACAGTGTTGCTCTTTTAAGACTTCTGAAAGAATGCTCCATACCTTGTCCCTCTCAGATTTTGGAAGGCACTTCAGATTTTTGAACCTTGGGTCGAGTGCTGTAGCTCTCTATAGAAGTCTCACATTGGTACCTTTTTTGCGTTTTGTCAAATCTGCAGTGAAAGTGTTCTTAAAACGAACGTGTGCTAGATCATCATCCAAGACGGCTATAACATGAAATATGTGGCAGAATGCGTGTAAAACAGAGCAGGAGACATACAATTCTCCCCCCAAGGAGTTCAGTCGCAAGTTTAACAAACACGTTTTTTTCCCAACAAGTGTCATCAGCATGGAAGCATGTCCTCTGGAATGGTGGCTGAAGCATGAAGGCGCATACAAATAGTTAGCATATCTGGCATGTAAATACCTTGCAATGCCGGCTACAAAAGTGCCATGCAAATGCCTGTTCTCACTTTCAGGTGACATTGTAAATAAAAGTGGGCAGCATTATCTCCCATAAATGTAAACTAACTTTTTTGTCTTAGTGATTGGCTGAACAAGAAGTAGGTCTAAGTGGATCTGTAGGCTTTAAAGTTTACATTGTTTCGTTTTTGAGTGCAGTTATGTAACAAAAAATATCTACATTGTAAGTTGCACTTTCACGACAAAGAGATCGCACTACAGTACTTGTATGAGGTGAACTGAAAACTACTATTTCTTTTGTTTATCATTTTTACAGAGCAAATATTTGTAATCGAAAATACTAATAAAGAGTACTGTACACTTCGTATTCTGTGTTGTAATTAAAATCAATATACTTGAAAATATAGAAAAACATCCAAAAATATTTAATAAATTTCAATTGGTATTCTATTGTTTAACAGTGCGATCAAAACTATGATTAATCGCGATTAGTTTTTTGAGTTAACTGCGATTAATCGATAGCCCTATTAAAAAGCATTAAGTTGCTTATTACATTAAACAACAGTTATTGGTGTTGGATGGTCATATAATCGAACAATGTAACCAGAAAGATTAATCATAAAGGAGACAACGGGCTAGTAAAGAAACCCAACCCCTTACATACAATACCATAACTTTCGTCTCCATTGGATAAGTGCTCACTGACTAATAGGCTTATAGACTTACGATTTCACATTTATCTCAAGGAATTTGCTGCCCTGCAGAGTGCATACTATTGAATAATGTATAAAATGACACTTCCTTTCTACAGGACAGATGGAATACTAAATCTCTAGGACTCCATCCAATGTAACAGAACTTTTATTTCAAGTACCTGCAATGAACAAGGACCGGTTCATTCTCCACTCTCTTTGGCCTCATACAGGTGACAAACTCCAAAAAGTCCCTGGAGTCATCAGGAACACCATGATCAGGCCAAGCAACATACTGGAGATGGGTGATGGTGTGCTCTTCCTCTGTCTGAAATGCAATTGTAGTGTCACCATATCTCATTCAGTATTGTAGTCACCATATCTCACTCAGTATTGTAGTAGCTTTACTAAAGTTCATTGGATAAATGCAATTTGTTTCATAATAAACTTACCTAGGCAGCACAAGGCTCCATATCCTGTACAACAGACTGCAAGATTTTCGAACAGAATATTTTCTTATTAAAAAACAATAAAATAAGTGATTCTTGGAGAACAAAGTTTAAAAATAAATGTAGGTGTTTAATAAGAGCATATTTACTATATATAGCTCCTTTCAGCCCAAAAGATTTCAAAATGCTTTACCATTTATACTTTGGAAACAGTAATTCCAGCAAAGAAATGCAGCCATCTCTGAAGTAACACACGGCAACAGCTATGTACAGCAATATTACACAATAGTTTAGATTAGAAAGGAGGAAATACCTGCTGAAATTGCAGAAGAAATTTACAGGCAGAATACAATTACCAGATTTGAAATTTGGTCTGGACTCGGGGGTTAAACACCCCTCCGTCATGCAAAAAGTGCCATAGAATCTTTAATGATTAAGTAGTATAGACCTTTGCTTACATTTCATCCAAAAGACGGTATCTGCAGCAGCATCTGCTAACACCGCACTGGGATGTTGGTTTAGTACCGACACTGATGGAACAGTGCCACCTGCAAAATTATCACTACCTGCAGCACGCTAGGTTTTCCCTCCAAATACTGACCCAGTGCAAGCCTTGTGACCTTGAGAGATTTAGTGGGATTACAATACAAGGTAATATGACTGGTGACCAGTTCTAAATCTGTTTTCCCCTTCATAGTCATCATACATCTTATACACTGACACAAAGGAGAAATGTTAAATAATGTATGTCTATTTGTAGATTTGGTCAGAACACAAGCATACATGGGCATATTTGCTAACTATGATTCCTCTTAACAGGACAGGTTATGTATAGTATATATGGATATGTTAGAGAAATGATTAATGAATTATATTTATACTGCCTGTGGAAACACTTCATTCTGTATGATGAAAATGTAATTAGTTGAGAAATTCTATTGTACAAAGGGCTCTTTTTCATTTAATTATACCTAAGGGAAGCCATGTACTAGAAACTACTTCAGTTTCTTAACTTCCTGTTGATTCTCATTATACAAAAGCACTCCTCTTAACACAATTATTTTCACATGCAAATGCGTTCCAGTGACTGACTCATTCTGTGTTATTTGCATACAAACAGCTGTCAACATATGCACGGGGCATAATTTGAAAAACACTAGTTTTATAGCATGGCTTTGGTCCATATTACATTTAACTTTTTAAACTAGATTGTTTTCCAGTGGTTAGACTGGAAAAAATGAGCGGTGATATTCCCCCAAGCTCTAATATATCACCATGCCAAAATGAAATGCCACTCACGAAGACCGTGAAAAATCTTCATAATATGGTCAACCCTCTTTCGTCCATATTTTTAGTAATAGTGAAATAGTTAACTATGCTGACATTTCAATGTTCATCATTAAGCTCAACATTAACACTCAAATGAGAAGAATGCTGCTCTCATTCATTCACATTGCTCTCACACTCCAGATATCACTGCATGAGTTCATACTCAGGTCACATTTTAAGTTCGCCACGTTTTTTCTGACGGGGTCACACAAGCATCTTTTCATGGTATCAAACATTATGAGCCGAAATTATAGAAGGACTTTGTGGCTACAACCACCTCAGTTCCCCGAATTGTTCAGTTCACCATCACTGTCTCAAAGAGATGAGGTGGAACAGTGATTACATATGTTATGGATAGAACAGCTTTGTTCTCATTAACTGGAGAAGCTAGAGTGCATTTGAATCATAGCACTCAGGCTAGATGAAACTTTGACTCATTCTAAAACAAGCCAGGGAGTCTGTGGTGTGATCTTAGGTGTTCATTAAAGATTCCAGGCTGAGTCATATGTGTGAGTGCTGAAGGGACACATTATTGAGGCACCTGGGGACCGCTACACAAAATTCAATAGCACTTTGAGCGGTTTTTTAGATTTAAATAATGAACGTATTACTCATGACAAATGAAGGCTTGAATGTGCTAGGAGCTGCATTTTTAATAGCTCATAGACATCAAGTACAATGAGCAAGCACATTACATAAGATCTCTCTAGAATAAGAGCACACTAGTCCATCAAGACTACTTCTGTTGTTGCAAGCATCTTCAGTTTTCTGTATTTTGCTCTATTCTTTCCTAAGGACCAATGTGCTCCTTTGTTAAATATCCCAGTGTTCCTCAAACTTCAATATCTTCATTACCCTTTTTCATTCTCCTTTTCAAACAGTTGTGACTTTTTCTGATGTGCTCTCCTAAGATTTTGATTCAAATTTTTAATGCGTTATCACAATAAATATTCACTTTTCAGAATGCCCACATTTACATGTCTCCCTTCCTATCAATAAGTCCAAATTCTACTATGCTTAATCTATTTTCCTATTTTACCTTAGAATAAATTTCATCCCTGCATGCCCAATACCACTACTTTGGTTGCAGTAGCCTGTTACTCCATTTAAACTCTCACAAATTGCTTGTATTACTTATCTGGCTTTGGGTTTTTCCAAAAGTTTACATGGGTGCAATACATACCACTGGTAGTCAGAGGTAACTGAGCTATGTGAATGTGTGCGCACGAAGGCAGGAAAACAGCAAACTACTCTCACAGAGAAGCAAATATGGTGTGTGCCTGTGCCTCCAACACTTTTTCAAAGCAATAAGGAGGGGGCAGGAGGAACACAGTAAATTCTACACTCTGCAACGCAATTGGAGTAGTGTAGTTACTTTGGGGAGAAGTTGTCAGATATGTAGCTTGAGGGGCTAGAGATTTAAGATTTTTTTATTTTAACTTTCAAGGTATGATTTCTGATACTTGAACTTTAATTTAAAAACTGGTCAGTATGTGGTAGATTCCTATGGAATATTTTACAATGACATAAATGCTTCCCCATTTCAGAAGATAATAGATATTTTGTAGTTAGAACTTTGAGAGAGGATGTAAAGATGTCAGAGAGAAAAATGTAGGGCAGCTTAAAATTAGAGGTGGACAGGAACCAAGCCCCTCTGTATAAACAAACTCAGACTTTCAAGAAGCTTGGATGTGATCCGAATATGAACTTTGCAGTACCAATAAGTCTGTAAAAGTGTTTCATACATTTGACTCTTCCTCTCTTTTCTCTCCTTTCATTACAACAAAATAGCAGCAGCTGAAGGGTACAAAAACCTTGCATAAATTGCAAGTGTTCCAACTGTGCACTTTATGAAGCTGCCTTTTCAGTTTAACAAAACTAATGGAAGAAGATTCACACGATTCTGTAAGCTCCCTTAAAACTACATTACAAGGATTCACCTTTTCCTTCTAATTGCCCTATGGGTGTGTGGCATTGAAAAATTGTCCCAGCCTCTGCTTTTGAATGAGCAAAAATATTATGAAGAAAAAAAAATCTATATTTTAGCCCTAAATGTTTGTTTAGAGTCGGGGGCTCTAAAGCAGCATGAATGAGTATAACATTGTATAAATAAAAATAACATAATAATAGAATAAGGCCTTATAATTCGTTACTTTAATAAAAAAAAAGGCTAAAAAAGTAACTCACTAGAAGGATCTTCCGAATTGCATGGTTTTGGGGCATCCCTAAAGAAAATTAAATCAAAATGCACTGGTTCATGTAATACCTATAATATATATAGAAGTTGACAGTACTTAGTTATATTTCTCACTACAGCAAAACCAAAACAAAACCACCCCCTGCCCCCAAAAGCTAAAGGCCACACTACAGAAAAGCACTCACCTCAATATTTGTAATCACCATTTCTCTAAAAACATAGGCAATAGTACAATCTTCAGATTGACATTTGACACGAAAGTTGCCATACTCCATTATATCTGGTGGATCAGGCCAATACTGATGACATTTGGTCTGCAAAAAAAAAAAAAAAAAAAAAAGTACAAGCCATGAGCTTACAATTAATATATTTTCTCTCATTTTCTCATTTGAACAGGGCATCTATGTGACCCAACTCTCTCTTCCTACGTCAACATTCAGAGAGCTCAGTAATGTTATTTATAACTGTTCTGGTTGGTTTTGTGGAAGGTGTGCATCTGCACCTGAGAACAGCTTGACATGTTGGGCCTGATTCTCCACGGCCTTGTGTAGTCATTTACACCCGTGCAAAGTGCGTGCTGAATGCCGAAGTTGTGATCCTCACATTCACTTTACACAGGTGTCAATGAATGACTACAGTGTACAAGCGGGTGGAGAATTAGAGCCATCACATCTAATGGCATTATTGAACATCTTTAATCCTCAATGCCTGCTTTCTGAGATTTAAAACCCCCCACGACCACTGAGCAATCAAATTTTTGCTGCTCATAGGATAGTAACAGAGTTTCTGTAAAAATACAACCCAAGTTTTTGTTGGGTCAATGAAATTCTTGTTTTATAAAAACGTGGTCTGAGCTAACAGGTATTTTTAAGTGCTATTTTCTTTTTTTGAAATCTCACAGGAACATATAGTATTTTTTTTCAAGTGAACAACAATATTTTGAAACAATATCAATTTAATATTACAAATCATGGGTGTACACGGATACAAAAATGGAGACTGGCCTTTAAGACTGGATCAAAATGTCAAACCTCAGTGTTGTTCCCCTATAAATTTGCGAATATATATCCATGGGTCAAAATAACTAATTACAAGGAGATTTTTTTTTTAAACTTTAATAATGCGCCATTTTGACCTTTGCATATAGTTTTGCAAGTTTTAGGAGGCATTAAGGTTGGGTGGGCAGTATAAATTAGTGGGATTACAGTGGGGATTGGCAAGAGGAAGAGAATGCTACATTAGTGAACTTGGATAACAGTTTCTTTGTTTTGGAGAGCAAAAGCACTGCAGCTGATTTTAATGAGCTGAAAAGGCTTTTGCCAGGAGTACGCTGGAACAAGTATGTTTAATGTGTGATTTACACTGGAGGGGCAGTTTTCAAAGAGGATGCTGATTTTTCAATTGAATGACAAATATCAAGATATTTACTTTTAGTCACATTATCCTTTTCCAGAGGGTGGGGATGGGGGAGTGGAGGTAAACAACATGTATTTAGACTATCAGAAAACTAAAGTATTTGTCTTCGGCCGTAGACCAAGGTTGCATAAATGGATGATTGAATAGTCCAGGTTTTACCCCCATTTGGGTTTTAACCCCATTTGGGTGTTTGTTTTACATATAATGGCCAATGGGACAGACTATAGAGGAGATAAAGAAGAAAGCCCTAAGTTCTATACAAGCAGTGCTGCACTTCACTCGTGTCCATGGGGGCAATCTTAGAGTTCTCAAGGCTAAAGTCTGTGCCCAAATACTACATGGTGCAAAAATATGGGGCTGGAAGAATACTAGTGAGTTAGATGTTGTGTCAAACACGTTTTTAAGGAAATGTTCAGCCTCTCAAATTACACCCGACTTGCTTTACTCAGGGCAGAGGTAGGGGAATGTATTATTATTTCGACCAAAGCCAATGCCTTTATACTAATTATTGGCTCCGTATTTGGCACATGAATCAACAGTGCCTTCCAAGGTTATGTCTGGAAAAACAGCTCAACAAGCTACATACTCAACAAGTTCACCATTCCCTCCATTCTTTTGTACGGGAAGACTTTGGCAAACCAGTAAAGTGCCTAAAACCACTATGGCTTATTATTAAAGACAGCCTAGTCAGCAAGCTGTAAATTGGCCATTCAGCAGTCTCAGCTTGACCAAGGCAGGACGGGAGGGGGTTTTGGGTGCCTCAGAAAGGGCAGCTTGACCCCGCGTCCTTCCTGATAAAAATTGTGTTAAAGTTGCTGATACATGCATTTGAAAAGAGCAGGATGTACCCCCAGGAATGTCTATTGGGGTCTCAAGGCTGCAGGCTCTGGAAAGACCCACACCTGGTTAATCAATAATCAAAAGGAGCCTCTTGCTTGCCCAGTGGAACTGCTTGCTTGACAAGTTTTCTTTAAGGGACATGTCATTGTATTACTAATGTATAAATAAGGGGAAAAAGCTTGAGATGGGGGGACTCTTCAGGACTGGTCTCTCCCTCTGGATGCATCTTGTGTTCCCCACTGGGCAGACAGGCTGCCACTGCGCCACTCGAGAGCCACACTCAGCTTCGGTAATTATCAAGGGTTGAGGGTGTTTTACTAATCTTGTTGCAGATGTGTGTAAGTGCTTGAGACCAAGTAAAGTTTAGCTTTTAAGTGAAAGCACTCTTGCGTTGTCCTGTTTGTGCCAGCCATCTATTGGTCGGACGGCCGGGTATCCCCTGATTTATTTCCTGACACCACCTCGCACAGAGTAAAAGTTACCAAGTGATTTGGGTTGAAAGAACCCCGGGTAACACTTTGGGCTTTTTGGAACTTGACTTGGTTAGGACTGTAAGCAGAAGGGTGAAAACCTTAACTAAGCTCAGAGCAAAAGATATTAGTAACCCCTGGATGTAGCATACAAGACGACATATTTATTGTCTTTCTCAATTAAAGAATATCCACAGATATGAGAAATATTTGGATATTTTGAACAGTACATTAAGCATGGCCTGTTGTAATAATTGGAACTTACAAATTTACCCTAATTGTGAGCTCAACTGTGAAAAGTGAAAGTTCCTAAAATGTCACAATAACTAATAAAGACAAATGTTATTGGGAAAAAGTGCAAAAAAATAGAGACAAAAAGACTAAATATGTCCAAACAAAAAGGCCTCCTGATATAACTCAAGGACTGTGTTAAAATCATGCTTGGTAAACAAGGAAAGTGTGGAACTGGAAACCAATGCACCAAAATTGGTGTGTCAGAAATTAGGTCTAACTGGTGGAAAAAATAACGAGGGGATGGGCTATTCCACCCCTTACTCCGTTCTGGGGCCCTTAAAGAAAGAGACTTTGGAAAACAAAATGGCTACTGGAGTGAGTTTCACCCTCATGGCTGTCACCCCGACTGTCTCCTGGGACCAGGGCCGTCCCTAGGAGGGTGCGGGTCCGGGACATAGGCGCCGAGTTTCTAATCTGCTGGGGGATGCTTACCCCTGGCTCTGCCCAGGCCCTGACCCCACCCCACCCCTTCCGCCAAGGCCCCACTCCCACCCTGCCCTCACCCCGCCTCTTCCCCATCCAGTTCTGCCCTCCTCTCCCCTCCCGCCTCAGCACCTCCTGATCCGTGGCAGGCGGTAGGCGCTGAGAGGGAGTGGGAGGCGCTGATCGGCAGGGCCCGCCAGCGGGCAGGAGGGGGAGGTTTTGGTAGGGGGGCTCCTCCTCCTCCCCCCATCGGCCGGCCCATCCCCATTCGCCACCTCACCCCGCTTGCCCGGGGTGTTCTCAGTAGCTGGTTATTGGTTTCTCAGCTTTTCCTGTTTTCCCCCTCTCCTAGGTTTCCATGGATGGCTGTGTGGGAAAGGAATGTCATCCTTTGCAGGATCTCTCCTAAGTGCAGGCAAAGCCAGTCAAGCTCCTCCTGCTTTCCTTCAACATAACTGAAAAGGACTCCAAAAAAGGGTGATACTAAGGCAGCCTGGGATTATGTCAATTCAACAGTTTCCCTCAGCAGATCGCACAGTGAAGAGCTCTAGTGGAAGTTAAAGTTGTTTAAAGCTCACTACAAAAGTGCTGAAAGAGGAGCGAACCATCTATTCTCTTCTGGTATGAATCTTTCATCAGGTGGATGCAGAGGGCTTAGCTAGTGTGGGGAGGTATGGTTAATATACACCAGGGCTAGCTTTCCTGAGTCTAGCCTCCAGTTTAGTTAAAGCTGTTTTCAAATATTTTTCAAGTTGAAACATTACAGTTTCTTAGCAACAACACTGCTGTAGAGTGCGTGCACTGCTTTTGAATTACTCAAGACAGCCTGGTTAAGTTTCTCTCAAGGATTCTGATTAGGTTTTAATTTAGGTTAAGCCACCTACATATCTTAAATTTTTCTTCTCGCTTAGTAATTGCAAATAAGGTTATACATCTAAAAGCTCCTTTATACTTATGTACATATATACCTCCACAACCAAAAATCATCTTTCATATTGTCTCAACGTATATATGTGAAGCTTATATTAGATGAGCGATCCCATACACCTCTACCTCGATATAACGCTGCCCTCGGGAGCCAAAAAATCTTACCGCGTTATAGGTGAAACCGCGTTATGTCGAACTTGCTTTGATCTGCCAGAGTGTGCAGCCCCGTCCCCCCGAAGCACTGCTTTACCACGTTATATCAGAATTCGTGTTATATCGGGGTAGAGGTGTATTCCTGAACAACTTCTCCTTTGGGAGAAGAGCGCTAATCACAGAAACTTAAGCTATGGCATTATCATCTCTATAACTCTAACTCCTCATTGATTCAATCATTATATTTTATTTTGTGCCAGTTGGTTTGAACACCCCATAAAATAAGTAAAATGATAACACAATTATTTCTGGCATGTTTTTCATGAAATGCTTATACATTCTCTCTCATCATGCCATCTGATTGTCCCTGAAATGTTCACATTTTGGATCTGTGCTTGTAGAGAGAGAAATCATTGTAAGAATACTCTTCCCTATTCTGATTGTATTTAAAACCCTAGCAACCATATAAATCAGGGGTCGGCAACGTTTGGCACGCGGCTCGCCAGGGTAAGCAACCTGGCGGGCCGGGCCAGTTTTATTTACCTGCTGACGCGGCAGGTTCGGCCGATCGCGGCCCCCACTGGCCGCGGTTCACCGTCCCGGGCCAATGGAGGCGGCGGGAAGCGGCGCGGGCGAGCAATGTGCTGGCCGCGGCTTCC